GATCACTATGCCCGAGACTTACTTATAGTTGTTGGTTTTGAAAACTATAAACCTGCCTTAACACCCATGTCACTTAAACATTCCCAATGGATTTCAAGTGATCATCCCTACAGTGATCTGCATATGTATTGTCGCTTAGCTGGATCTCTCTAATATCTAATAATTACTCATCTTAGTATTGTATTCACCACAAACTCAATCTGCCAACACATGCATCATCCATGAAATCAAGATTACCAGTCACCTAAATGCCTTCTTCTCTATTTTAGGCACTCTAACCTATGATATTCCACTCATCAATGGCGATCTACAACTTCGAACCTATGCAGATGCTGATTAGGCTGCTGATTCTACCAATCAGAAATTGATTACATGATTTTATATATTCCTTGGAAAAAATATCATATCTTGGTGTACTAAAAAGTAAGTTATTGTGTCAAAATCTTCAACTGAAGATGAATATTGTTCCCTCTCTGCAGCCACCCCAAATGTTCTATGGTTATGTCGACTTGTTGTTGAATTTCAGCTAACTCAATCATCGCCGACTACCATATATTATGACAATACTTTAGCTATTTCTTTTGCAAACAATCTTGTCCTTGATGCCAAAACTAAACATATTGAAATTGATTACCATTTCATCTATATCGACATCAACTCAAAGTCTATTGTTGTGTCTCACATCAACTCTGCTGATCCACTCAACAAACCTTTATTTGCTGCTCGATTATTTTATCTTCGTCACAAATTAACTATCCAGCCATTGGATACTCAATTTGAGGGGGATGTTATCATACCAACACAAGAAGCCAAGCAAACTGAAAATGACCACCACTTTTTCCAACCGAAAAGGATCACCACAACATTCGTCTATCACAACAGTCTAGCAACTAACACATAGCACATATTCTAACTAATTGTCTTCTCCACTTCTACATATACTTGTATTACAGTGTTAAGAATTAAGAGATTTTAACATTATGCTGAAGTAAAACTTAGAAGATAAGTTCTTCTTTGTTTTCCATTTTTTGTTTCATTTCAGATTTCATCATATTGTGTAGAATTTCTACATATTTAAGAGAAGTATCATTTCATAGTTTTCTCCATGATAAGTTCATGTGGTTATGAATAATTTCCCAAATAATGTTCCTTGAGAGTCCCATAGAATTAGAAATAGCATGATCTTTGTAATATATTTCGATAACATTTTTCATGTCAATAATATGAAAGGTAGGTATGACCACAACAACTTCTTTCATGATTAATATAGAGAATTCTTTTGAGATTTGTTGAGACTAGGATTCTTCATATTCTATTTGAAAAAAATATCAGTAGAGGAAGTGTGTTGTATTTATTTTTCTATACAGCCAAAGTTAATTTTAAAGGCATCTATTTCTACAATTTAATGACTATCAGGATTGGACTATAAGTCTCAAAAGATTTTGAATGTTCTCTTTTTATTAGAATATCTAATTCATAAGATTTCTTAGTGAGAACTTTATTCTTTTTTGATATATATGGTACAACATTTTGTCCATCAACTTCAATTATTGAATTACAGTAATTGACTTGAACATTTATCACAACATTCAAATCAAACATGATGCCTTAAACTTTTTTCTTTATGGTGGTATATGGCAAACATATCACATGATCAGAGTATAAACTCAAAAAACCTAGCTTAAGTAGTGTTGCGTTCCAAAAAATATGTGGTTATAAAGATGAAGTGTTCATCATCTTAGTTTTGTACGAAGATGAAGAACCCATTTAGATAAAAGAAGGGCTGTAAGAGATACTAGAACTTTTTATAAAAATTCAACAATGAAAAAATTATGGGGCATGACTTGGTTGAAATAATTACTCATAAAGTACAAATGATGCCCTTACTTACAACTGGGGAAGTTGTTTGCTCAATAAAGTAAACATAAACTATATAGAATGGATTATATGGTAGAATTGCGATAATGTGGTCATATGGGAGTTTCCTTTGAGAAAATATTTCATGTATGTTTGATCCTTCTCTATTGAGAAAGAGAGGATATTGGAGACCAAGAAGTCTTAAATATATATTTGTGCTAATATCTTGAGTTAGAGTTAGATAAATAGAATGCATTGATCTTGTAGATGATGATGTGCATCAATGCTATTGGCGATAATGGTAAACAAAACCAGCATGTGTTGGTGTAACTGGTGATAGTGGCTGGAAGACTGTAGTTAGTTAATAATAGCTGGTTTGGATACTATAATCAAGCAAGGGTGGTGGAAAGAAGAAAGTCGCATGACAATTGTCAAAGCACCATAGTGGGACAATAATGATCAAAAGACCATAGTCGAACAATGATGGTTAGAGGACTATAGGCAGTAACAGTGGTTGGAGTAGCCTAGTCAGGCAATGATGGTTGGTGGACCATGGTCTGATGATGGTGATCGAGAGACTATAGTATAGCCATCAAGGTTGAAGGTTCATAATCAGGGTGATCGTGGTTGTGAGACTACAGTCGAGGAACAATGTTTTGAAGATTGTATTCAAGTTGTAGTGGTTAGAGGATTGTAGTCACTAGTTGGAGGGCAAAGGCTAGACTGTGGTGGTGGACTTTTGGCGGTTGTCTATGATGGTCCGACTGTAATGGTTGGACGGTGATGTTTTGAGATTAGCTAACAATTGGAGTCCTGAATTATTTAAGTCTTTGAGCTCTCTAGAATCTCAAGCCAAGCATTTCACCTCAAGTTGAGAGTGGAGTTTTATTTATAAATTTTAAGAGTAATATATTTTGTAAATATAGTCAAAATCATAAACGCTTCAACATATGACCCATATTGATTCTCTAAATTTTAAAAATTTAGAAATTCAAAATTTCAATGTTGTAGTTATTGTGGTTGTAGTAGTTGTGGGGTGATTAAAGATTCATTTTAAAATTTTTAATTTTTAATTTCATCTAGTTATTGAATATAAGTTGATAAAACAATCATAACCATCCAAGGAACTTCCATCCTTGTATTTCCCTTGTAATGGACAACCAAGGGTAATTTTTTTCATATAGTCCAAGGGGGAACTATGGAGATGTCAAGCAATGTCAAAATTAGAAGTGGTCAACCAAGGCTCTCTCTTATAACTCTCAAATTGGTGAAGAGTAGCATAAATGCTTCTACAAGTCATTGGAAGAGTGAGAATGAATTCAAATCGTTCTCAACAACCTACAATTTAAGTATCTTAATGATACGACATTAAGCAATTTTGGATTCGTTAAATTCATCTCATCAGAATGCTACACTCACTATAAGTATACAAAATTTAGGAATCATTTGATCCCTCAAATAATGCCCGAAAGTTCCAATTATATTTTGTGCAAGACCTCAGCTTTTCTAGACTCAAATTGAATCACTCTTAGTACCATTCATTCTTTTCATTCGAGATGCTCAATTTGGAAATAATTTTTGAACTGAGAAGAGTTCAGAGGATATACAAAAAGACATAGTAATCTGATGGTGAGAGAGGCCTAAAAACACACAACTCTCCTTGGCCTATTGGTTGAGAGCTTAGGCTTCCAACTAAGAGGTTCAAGGTTCGATTCTATGTGTATGTGTTGTGTGTGTGAGTTTGCCTTAAATGGCCTAAATGTCCCAAAAAAAAGAGAGGCCTAAAAACTAAGAAATCTGGAGCTTCCTTTGAGATGATTTTTTTATTGTTTTTTAAACAAAAAAACTTACAATAAAATTATAATTTTTTTCTAAAAAATTGCTTCAAAAAATAGTAAAAAAGTCATCTTTAATGAAGCCTAAAGCTTGTTTGGACAATTTTCTTATTACTTTTTAAAATAATTTTTTATTAAAAAATTTTTAAACTAAAAACTTTTAGGGTTTAAAAGCAATCCCAAATAAAGCTTGAATGTATTCTTTAGAAGAAAAACAATGCAGTCCTCAAAATGTTCAAGTTATATATAAGCTTTAAAAATATTATTTATATAATCTTAAAGATATAAAATCTGATTTAGATAGCTACAATTTTTCATAAAATTGATTGCAAAATATTATAGGAACTTTTTTTTTAATTATAATAAATTATAACTTCCTAGCACAAAATTAAAGAAAAAAAAAATAGTAAAACAAAACTGTAAGTCTAAAAAAACAAAACAGTCAGGAAAATTATCCCAAACAAACTCATAACAGCCTTCTTTAATCAATGAGTCAAGGATCCTTTTGCTTACAGTACTCAATTAAAAATATTTTTTTGGTAATTAGAAGGCCATGATTAATTAAACAAGAAGCAAACAGAAATTAACGCTAAGCAAGACCGTCATTTTTTATTGAAAAGCAAACTAATTATTAGCTCAAAGACTGCACAACTTCATTTTTAAGGTGGGCTATCAAATAAAAGTATCATATTCTTACAATGAATTAAGTTTTTATAAAAATTATTCTGTTTGAAATAATATAGACAATGCAGGTATAAAATACGAAAAATATAGGTAAGCAAATAAAATAATTTGTAAACATAAAGTCACTTTGTATAATTACTCTCACGAATCTCAAGACAAAATCAAGTTGAAAACTTCCGAAATTAAATCCGGAATCATATGAACTCCAATTTCGACAAACTTACAATCAAACTGAACGTCTCGAAAAAATGAACCCAAGACACCAAATTCGACTCAATCTTAGCCCAAATGGGTCCAAATCAAAGATCCTAAGCACATTTGAAAAGTTCAAACTATAAATTGGAGGACCAAACGGCTTCCAAATATGACATGCTTATAATCAAATCAAATGGCTCAACGAGATGAATCCAACGAGCCAAAGATCGTTGAATTCTAATATCATTAAGACATTCAAATATCCAGTAGACAATTATGAACAAGGGGATCAATATAAGGATTTGTTTAGAACATCTTTCTGCTGTCTAAAACAGTTTTTTTAATATAAAATTTAAAAAAAAGGGAATAAAACGAAGCCTAAATAAAAAAAGCTGCCAAATCAAACCTCAACGATCAATTGACTATGGCTAAGAAAATTAATTTGTAGAATTACACAGAAATAATTAATTTCATCACAAAGTTTGCTGTCCAGATGTTACACCAGGAAAATTTTCAAAAAACAAAAATGACAAACTAATGAAAACTAGAGGAAATTATAAAATCAAGCAAAGAAAAGGGTTGAAATGAAAGACTACCACAACGGCTAGTAATGCTGCGATAAGAGTAAAACGTATATAGCAATATTTCACTCACTTACTGGATGAAAGCAATATAGAAACGTGAATATTCCAAAAAGTCAATTTGAAAGCTGTTAGAAAAAACCAGTTACTCAATTGGTCTTCTTGCTGTTCTCATCTGTTGCATTGCTATCTGCTTCATTAGCAGAGCCATTGACAAGTGATTTATCTTCTTCACCACCAAAGCCAAACTCGTTCACTCGTGCCTTATCTACAGGATAAATCCATCTCTGGTAGAGATATATCAAGAAGATCACATCTGCAAGTCAAGAACATAAATATGTAAATATAAATCTAAGCACCACCCCCTTTGTAATTTCAACAATAAGACTGCATAAAAATAAACACTTCATATTATGCATTGGCAGGAAGCATGTTCTAGTATAATCTAGAATCCAGCTAATAATTTTTAAATTGACAGGTAGCATGTTTTAAATTGTGAAAAATCAACCCCTATAGTAATAGTTTTAGGCTTTGTTTGGGACGACTTTTTTACTGCTTAAGGAAGCTTTCTAGTATAAGATATACAATTTTCGTATTAAAAAGCTGCTTTAGGAAGCAATAAGAAAGCCATCCCAAATGAAACCTTAATTTGTAGAATCCAAACATGATCTATGGATAGCATAGTGTCCAAAAGGAACAAAATAAAAGCACTTGAGCAGCTAAAAAGAAGTAAAAAAAACACTAGCAAATGCATTCTGAACGCACCATCTCGGAACACTGATAGGCGGTGCAGTGTTGGCATTTTTATGACAAATGCAAAAAGATCATCAATGATTGTGTTGAGGAATTTGTATGTCATTTGCCTCCAGGGAAGATGAGCAACTGATTTCATTTTGTAGTTTATAAAAAGTTGGGGACACATCATGATAAAACCTGTAAATCAGGAGGCAAAATTTTTGTGTTAGTAATTGTAGATTGGCGTATAAAAGACAGGAGAAAAAATCATTAAAAAACCCAATTTTGGTAGAGGAAAAAAAAAAGTTAAATATCTTCAGGCATTTCACAACTACAGCTACTTGGCAGCTATGTTGAATTCAATCAATTTACAATATCCGAGAGGTGACCATAAATTAACTCTAAGCTGGAATTTTCCTCATGTAAATTTTTGTTTGCAATATACATTTCTACTGCTAGATATCTCCCTAACATCTTACAGCTTTCTACTGTCAACTTCTCCCGTGAAAAAAACCATTCAATGATATCAGAAGCCTTGAATTGAGCTTTTGCAAAAATGAATTAATCGTGATATGCTAAAGAGTTGAAAGCCAAATTGTATGGTGGGAAGGCTGCTTACCAAACATGTAGACACAGCTAGTGAGGGACGAAAGTATCCAGGAATACCAGCTCTTGTGCTGCTCATACATCAGTGAATAGATGGAAAAGCAAATCGCAAGAAAGAAAAGAACATAGGAAAGGTATTTCATAGCAATGTCATCATATTCCTTGGTTTTGTTTTTTGTATATGATTCGCGGTCACGGAATCGCAACATAGGAATCCTCCCACTCCTGTCAATCTGGTAACATAACAAAAATGATACAGCAAAAATGTCATTGAGAATGAAAACTTCAGTAAGTACAGATGCCAGCTATCTGAAAGAACCCTAAAATAATAGTTCAAGGATTAGAGAATACTCAGAAACTTATCACACCATTTAAACTTGTTTGTAAACAAATGCATCAAAATATAGTTTGGCAGATGAAAAAAGAAAAGAAACAGTCATAAAAAACATGTACTCCTAATTATCAAGTGCAGTAATTTATGAGGAAGGAATCGGGAACCAATGCCAAATATTTGAAAATTACTGAAATTTATCAGACTACAAAAACACTTAATGATTTTGAATTTTATTACATAGAAATCTGATATTCAATGATTGACTTCATAGTAATATTCTTAGCATAAAATTTAGTAATATGGACAGATCCTCTCTAGAAACAGGGAATGCAACCTAAAACCATCCGTGTATGAAAAAAAAGCATCTTAAGTATTATCCCTCAATAGAGATTCCTGGACATTTAGAATTTTCGTAATATTTCTTCTCGTCATTTTTGTCTGAAAAATTTAAGCATTCATATGGATAACTAAATAAACCAAGTACACTATCAGGTAACTTGCCTCAATGTGCATAGCTTTTCCAATTTTCCAGAATTCAATGCAGCAACCAATGCCAGAGCTAGCAAGAATCATCCATGAAGTATCATTGTCAAAAAGGTAAAGGAAAACAATCAGCTGACTGATAAAGCTCACAACAACCGACTTTGCAGACAATCCTTCCATAGACTTGTTTTTATTCCAAAACTGAATGTCTGCAACGAGTCATCAAGGTTAGCAAGCAATTATGAGAATAAGTTACAAAGAATCATTATAAATTAAATCCATTTAAGCATATTCAAAGGCCTTCAACATAATGAAATTCCAACTTACCATTCTTGAATGCCAGAAAATCGAATAAAGAATGCAGCACAGATACAACCATTGTTACCACCAGGAGATAGGGGTTCCCTTCCAAGAAGACCCTCTGCAGCACAAAAAGTACCATATCAAGCAGTGAGGAAATACAAATGCAAATTTGTATTCTTAATTTTAGAGAAAATTATTCAACAGACCGATGTGAAAGACACCTTTGCAATCCAATAACGCAAGAACGAACCTCTCTGAAACTCTTTGAATATAGAACTAGAACATACTAAACGTAGGTCTAAAGGCTAAACTCAACTATCTGTTAAAGTTAAAAATGTTAAAAAAAAAAGGGAAAATAACCCCTTTGGTTCAAGGCCATATATAAGTACATTGATTTTAAAAATTAAACTGCAAAAAAAATACACATAAACTCCATCAAATCCCTAGAATTTGATAAACAATTTCTATCAAACAGGTTAGTTGGCATAAGACTTTCCATAAAAAAGATGATAAGCGGTTTTTATTTCTAACTTATTTACCAAAATATTAATTATAACTCCCTGGCCACAAAAATATATCTATCTTTGACTCTCTTATTTATAATATACCCATCTAAAAGCATATCTGAAAAATGCAAGGCAAAAACAATAAAATATCAACTATTTTATCTATATAAGTGGATGGTTAATTTCACAAAAAGATCTGTAATGGATTGCAAAGCCCAAGTCTTTTTGCCTTGGATGGCACTCGAAGAATAGTGAATAAACAAGAACATGACATGGCCGACTCATATTAAGGCCTGAGCCACCTTAGGTCAAATCAAGGTCATAATAGCATCAAAATATGTATACATATACATATATATACATATACATATACATATATATACATATACATATACATATATATACATATACATATATATATATATAGGTATTATATGTGTGTATGCACAAACAAATGTAACGCTAAGAGCTAGAAAGATAAAAAAAATTGATTGAAAATCAAATCTGTTTTTTGACAATCACGATCATTGATATTGGTGAAACATGCTTAACTCGATTAGGTACTTAGCTTAAGCCTAGCTTGAATTGAGATCACACAAAGAGACCTTTGACACAATTATTTGTTAGCCAGATAATAACTATCAATGGTATCCATTCCTGGGCAATACAGAAGAAAATAGAAAATGCATTACACATCAATTAGTTTATTGTATTCAACCTCATTATACATACACCCTCTTTATCCCGTCCCCCTCTTCTCTCTCCTAATATATCTACATGCATTTTTCCATCATATCCTCACCTATGTATTTCATATTTATACAAAGATGTCATATCCATGCTATCATAAACTATCAAGTATTATGCATGCTCCAAGATCCTTTTCATTTACAAAGTGCTATCAGGCACTTGCATTATTTTATGGCTTTGGAATTAACGATTTTGTATAAATAGACCACGAACTTCGAAAAAGTATCCGATGAAAAACTAAAAGTCAAGTTTAAGCTTACAAAATGAATTTTCCCCAATAAACCCTTGAAAGCTGGGAATTATAAATATGACCAAGTTAATAGTAGCCAAAATAGTTGGGCTAATAATGATGACGACAAATAGAAGCAAAACAGATTAAAAAACTTGTTCAGGAAACAATAAACGAGCCAGAAAAAGGTAAATAAAACTGAACAAAAATTATAGCAGCTTATACATTCTAAATGGTAATAATAAACAAAGCAAAAGATATACATGTTTTTCATACTGAAATAAATTGTATTCATCAATGCTTATCATTACAGTGCTAAGCAAAAAATAATAATCAGCAATCAAGATTTGTATTTGGTCATTGTAAAACATATTAATAACATGTTAAAACCATCAAATCATATTCCTAGCGCCTTTAGATCAAGTTGCATTATCCCTGCATAAACAAAATTTTTAGATTCAAACCTCTACATATGCTTTTAGTATCAAGAGTTTGACCTGCCAACTAAGTTGCACTAAATGATCAAGTTGAGTAGCAAAATATATAGGATTAGTGGATTAAAGCCTATGATGCACAAGACACGGACACGGCGACACGACACGGGCACGGGACACTTCAATTATTGAAAATATAGGACACGGACACAGGTTAGACACGGTATTATAATTTTTATATTTTAAAAATAATGTATAAAAATTAAATAAGTATAATTTCAAAAATAATTTGGAAATATATAGCCATTTAACTAGAATTTGTGATTGAAATGATTAATATTAGGATGTTGAGAGTCAGACGCCGATGTTATTATTAGTCTTCGAGAGGAAGATGAAAATACCTTCACTACCAAAGAGAAATGAAAAAGAGAATATTCGATGAATGAGGTATTAAGTGTGGGCAATTGATTTGGTATTGTGAATAGGAAATAAGAAATTTAATTTTTATATTTTAAATAAGTAAAAATTTTAAATGCAAGAAATTATATTAAAAAAATTCATAAAAAATTTAAGATATGCGTGTCTAATTTGTATTTAATATTTTTTAATCTGACACATTTTCGATGTGTCCGGTTCGTGTCAGAGGAGTGTCGGACGCGTGTCGTGTCATATACGTGTTGGACACTGCACACCTCTTTAAAGAGAAGTGTCGGTGCATCATAGATTAAAGCATATGTATTTCTAAATTTTGAAGTGAAATGTTAAGTAGTGTGCAAAACGGTGGCCTTCCATCAACATAAACATTGAATCATCTAGTAAGGAATACTTATAAACCAATTTCCAATATCTAGAGACTATTTTTTAATTTAGCACTGATCTTCAGTTGTTGGTACTAGAAAACTTGTGGTTCCACTTTTCTTCATCTTAACTTCTAAAAAAATGATTTTGACTTAAAAGAGAAATTTACTTAGAAACATTTTGCATGTGTGCATTTTCTATGACTTCATCAGCATATGGACTGACTTTCAAGCAACGCATATTTGAATATGATACATGATAATTTCATTTCATACAACATAGAAAATGAATAACATTTGACACACTTGTACCAAACAAAACCTAGTTAACAGGATAATGTTTCTTAAAAAAGAGTAGAATAATAAATCATATTGAAATAAATAAGGGAAAAAAAACCTCCACCAAGCCAACCAGGTAATAAGTGGAGATCACTTAGTAATGGTCATATGCATGGTTACCATGCGGTTGCCAAACTAAGAGCCTCCATCTATGACCGGCCATTCAAGGCGAAGCCCAAAACTACTTTTGATCAATCCTTGTAAAGGCAATTGTAAAACTTCACTTCGTTGGTTTAAAAAATAAACAATTTTGAACCCAAAACTATCATCAAACTCAGGTGGAAAGTATACTGGTACCTTAAGTTGATCAGCCTCCCCTTCAACCATACTTCCATAACTTCGGTGAATCTGGAATGATTGCTCAATCTGTAAGAAAAATTGCCACTTAGTTGAGCTGATTGGTCCTACTTCTAGGTGAAGAGGTAGTTCTTTCACAGTATCATTGAGAGGTATGAGTTTCTCTCTCAGGAGCCAAAACTCATTGAAGTAGATTATTGGGTAATAGTTCTTCGTTGTTAGATCGATGTTCAAATCTGAACAGGAATGTTAAGCAGAACAACTCTTCAACATAGCCAAGAACAACTTAATTCATTACAAAATGAATTTCATACTCGCAGGCATAACCATGCAAACATTCACTTTGTTGTCTAACACATCAAACAAATATAAACTTCTACCAAATTATGCCTAAGAAAATATGAGAAATGCTCAAGTCATCTCCAGTAGAACAAGCATAAAATGAGAGAAATATTCGATAGGATGCTTGAGAATATGCTCATATATATAAAAAAATACTCGTGCTCACATGAATATTTCCTACAATGAAAGGTAGTAGCTAAAAGGAAGTGTCCAAAACATGGGGTGACTAATTGCACTAGAAGTTGAATACTTTAAAAGGGTTAAATTTTGAATACAATTTAAGTTTCACTAGTGTAGTGTCACACGACTAATCTAGGCATGCTTCCATATTAAAGTAAGTTTATACATTAAATGAAAACTTAAGAAGCTGCATACATCGCAACACATGCCACCACAACAATAAAAAAACAGATTAAGGAAAAAGCATTCTTGTAAAAATAAAAGCAACTGCAATTTTCGAAAGACTAATGATTATCGTCTAACGCCTTAATTCATAGCAAAATATCTTCCATCGATAACATCATAAGGTATATGCTCAGAAGTATTTATTCATTTGGATCTATGAACATCCTGCCTGGTTCAAAAGGACCTGAATAGTAAACAAAGGATTCACCAAGATAACCCCAAAAATGGATAAACATGGTGTTCTCCCCACTCGAAGCAAATAAATATCACTTCAGCCACCACTTTAAATACAGAAGTAGGAATGGACTTTAGCCAATTAGTAAGTGAACCAAATGAAATGAGCATATGTGGCAATTGGACTGCAATGCCGCTAAGGGAAAAACCCTAGCTGCACCTCCCACAAACCATTGATGGGCATTTTTCCCTCCCTCGCCTCATCTGGCTCTGCTAGACTATTTTTCCTCCATAAATGAAGTACACTCCACCTTCTTCCTCTTCCGCGTTTAAAAGTCCTTTCAACAAACATCCCCCGACATTCCTTCACAAGATGCTTCTTTGAGATTCCTTCACTCAGCAAGATTTTCCATCACTTTCCAAACATAGCCAAAATACTCAAGCACCCCATACTATTGCAAAACTCTCACCAAGATTCTCAAAAGCCCACCTCTTCTCTTGACCAGAAAAAAACTTCTTTCCACAAAAACCACTTTGTCCAAAGACATCTCTATGACCTAAAAGCCCACCAAAATCCCATGTGATTCACTTCTCTGAGAAAGAGGTGGAGGAAGTTCAACCGAATAGGAGTTATCCTTGTCAGCTTACTCCATAGGTAAGTGCCCTTTTTATAAAGCCTTTCTACATGTGGTGAAGAAAACCTAGTTGCTGAAAGGTACTCTCAATCTTCTCTCACTTAATGATGGGTTTTTCCTATTCATATTCTCTTTTCTAGAAGACTTTGAAATGGTGTGGTTGGGGGACTTTTCTTTGGCAAACCTTTTATCTTACAAAAATGATCTCCTCCATCTGGCTTTGGATAAAATTTAAATCTCCCACTCAATTGCTGGAACCCTAGTAGTATTTCCAATATTGCTAGCTCTATCAATCTTCCTCTAGTTATGAATAAGAAAACTAGACTTACATTTGCTAGAAACTAGATTTTATTAGGAATAGTGGAAATAGCTCTACTATTACTAATAAAATCACCACTTTGGCAGCATGGGTTGCTTCATCTAAGAGTACCTTATAGATATGGGATAAATATTTGTCTAAGGGGATAAATTTGAACAAGCGAATTGGCAACTCGCTGACTTGAATGGAACTCGTTCAACTTCTGTGGTCACTCCAATCGCTTGACAAAGGGCTCCCTTCTCTAAGGCCTATCTCTGGGATGCACCCTTTCACTCAAGAACATGCAGATGTTTTGGGGGAGTACCAACCAACGGTGCCGGGGGTCGTTAGCATAGTTTTTGACAGAAAAGACCCTTTTTATGGGTCAATGGAATCTTTATGACCTTAGCTAACCGAGAGTTTTATCGGTCATATCCTATTGATTCATTACTTAATGATTTAGCTCCGTTAGGAAACATACGGGCTCTGACCATGATCGTAATTTAATGATGTCATTTGGTGGTAAAATCACCCGGTCAAAAGGTCGCGGTCATAACTATTTACCTGTGGTGTTATTTGGCGACAAAATCACCGATTAAAATACACGTGCTACGTCCTTACTGGCAAGATACGGTTTAAGAATGAATCATAGTGATATTCTCGACCAGACATTTGCTATTTGTGAGCTGAAATCATTTTCAGATTTGTCCACCCCCGGGAAACTATTGCGGAGGGTGAATGAATTTTTCTTTAAGTATTTTAGGTGTTTTTATTTCACTTTTAAATATTTTAGTGATTTCTTAGTTTTAATTTTCATGAGAATTTGGGAGGCATCTTTAAATATTTGGGGTTCACTCCGATTGAGATTTTTAGTCAATATGTCCATCATCGAGGTATTTATGAGAAATTTTATTTTATCGGTTGAACCATATCGGCTATGCCTACTTGCCGACAAAGGATCAGGTTTGTTGTTGGCTTCATTCCTTTATTAGTGAATTTCTATTGTTGTAGACCTTGAAGGCTTAATATGAACGTATAAAATAAATATCCTGATCGATGCAGCAACCATATATTTATTTAACGGTTCGAGCCGTGTCGACTCCAACCTATTTACATAGAAGGATCAGGTTCGAACTTAAGTTCATTTTTTGACCCGCACAGCATCCTCAAATGTCATATGTGTACATACAACATGATTATCAAGGCCCATGCGGGTAATCATATTTTAATACATAAGGAGAATTTAAATATTTAAATATAATTATTTGCGCTAAATGATTTTCATTAAAATTTGCACAAAATTTTATTTAAAGCTTGAGAAACGCCTTTTGTCTGCTCGTACAAGTGTTACGGATTCGCTGGCGTAATGCTGCGCTATTGGTTGCCCATTGCTTATTGAAGGTAGGTTGTCGTGTAACACTAAATTCTTTTTGGTAAGTAATGGTCATTTGAAAGATGCACGAGTTTCTTTGAAGAGTCTATAAATATCTTTTGTCCGCTAGTATAAGTGTTACAGATCTGATGGCTTGGCTTTGTACATCATTTATTGTGCATTAGCAGTGCTGTTTAACATTCATCTTCTAAATGCTATCATTTTCTTCAACATTCAACCAACAAAAATATATTCTGTCGGAAAATATGTTGTGTGACGCATCAAGAGCCTTCCACCTATTGCTCATAAGTGAAGTAATTTATCTAGTGTGACAGCCTAACGTCGTGAATTTACAACCTCATTTTATTAATGGCTCGCACTGTTTACTACTAATTCCCTGCTTTTTCTTACAAGTGAATCATAGCGTTGTGCTATGGGTCGCTTGTTACCGTATGAAAGTAAATTGTCGTGCACTAATGAATCTCTTACAGCGACTTATAGATATTTGCATTTATCACAACCTTTTTGCACTCGTTGTTGAGTAGCATGTCACATACATGACGGGTCTTCTACAATGGCTCACTGGTGCTTGCATTTGTTGTATATCGACTAACTTTGTTTGCGAGGATTAGTGTATTTGCTAGATATTTATTTACTGTTGATCATAGGGATAATCTGGCCTATACTGCACGTCGTTTCTCGTCACCCGTAGGTGGATTACTATGCACATTTCAGGCTTACACCCCACTCATGGGCAAGTCATATTCACCACGAGTTTGCTACTTTGTTTTGTGTGCTAGTTGTTGTATTATTGATGACTCATTTGTTGTTGCTTGCAAGTGTTGATACACGCCACTTGTCGCTCTCTATAGATGGGATGTTGTGAGCATCACAAGTCCCTAGTGTTGCTCGTGGGAGGTACTACGGTATGTATAATGATCCACCTATAGTAACTTATAGGAGTTTGCATTTGCCACATATTGATCGCCTTTACTTATGAGGGATCACTATATTTACTAAAAACTTGATTGTTGTTTATCGTATGAACACCTTGGCATTTGTCGCATGTTGTCTATATATATTTCTTTATACATGTTGGCTTGTGAGTTGGTATGTTCATTTGCATGTCCTTCACCGTTTCCTATGAACATTAGCAAACTTCTTATAGTCATTTGTAAATAGACTATTACGTGCGTCAACCTTCTTCATTTGCAGTAGTACATTCGCTTGCAAAATTGATACAAATGTTATAACCAATCAATATTATTCTCATTTGATTTGTAATATTTATTTGTTTTTGCTTGCAATTAGATTGTGTATCATCCTTGATTAATGTTCAGAGTTTTGTTCACCATAAGTCTCATGCTTATATACTTATTTTTTGTTATTTTGTGAATTACAGGTTGTGGTTTTAGATATAAGTTTATGCTCCCTGTAATTGCAAGTTTGGTTCCCTGTTATTTGTTCAAATTAAGTCCCCTGCATTTTGTTTAAGTCCCAGTCCTCTATCAGTTCAAATTTCGACAGCCTCTCGGCGTCTCCCCCGTTTAGGAGAAATTTGAGAAGTTAGGCCTTCCCACCACGCTACGAAGAGCGTGTATGGTAGGTACAGGAAACACTGCGTCCGTGGTTCTTCAATCCCATCACACTACGAAGAGCGTGTATGAGTCTTCGAGGTACTTATTTGAAAATGCAATTTTTTCCCCGCAAGCATGATGGCACATACATGGATACTTAGGGTTGTCCCTGCCATGCTACGAAGAGTGTGTACAGGACCTATCCACCTCGCTGCAAGCATCGCATCGGATTCCTTCCCACAATGCTATACAGAGCGTATATGTGTGGTCCCCCGACAGACCGCGAGCGTCGAAAGCAAGATTTGGAGCTTCTAAGTTGTAGGGACATTATACAATGGCGACGAATGCTGACGGCGGCGATGTCGGGGCGATGACTACTGCAAAAAACGCACAAAGACTTTTCTTTCTTTTTATTTTTTTTTTATTTTATTTT